ATCATATTGGGTAGTTATTATTGTTGTTGTTGTCGTTATCGTCGTCGTTGTTAATGAGTCAAAAATAGACAAATCAAGCATGTGGAAACTCCCATAAGGAAAGCCACCAAAAAAGGAAGAAATAAAGAAGAAAAAAAATAGAGCTTTGAGTATTAATTGGTGATTTTGTTTTGAGGACACAATTATTATCGTTCATTTTGTTTTAAATTTAGAGCATGTTTGGCCAAGCTTCTCGGAATAAAAAAAGTATTTTTTAAAAAATTTAAGGTGTTTGGCCAAAATAAAATAGTACTTTTGGCTAACAGCAGAAGCAGTTTTTCTGCTTTTGGAAAGAAGCAGAAAATTCTAGCTTCTTCCAAGAAGCAGAAGCAGAAGTAGAAAATTAATTTATTCAAGACAAAACTATCCTCACCATAAATATATATTTTCCAAATTATCCTTTACATTTTCTTTAATATTTTTTGTCTTTTCATTTGTTCTTGCTTCTTTCGCTTGGATAGTTCTTTTTTTTTTCCTTCTAATTTCTACCATTATTTTAAAAAGGAAAAAGGCCCAAAAATGACCCTGTAGTATTCGAAATGAATCAATTATAACCCCCATTTTAACTTGAGCCTACTAATACCCCTACCGTTAAAGAATGAGCCTAATTCTACCATTTTTCACTAACAGCTACTACTTAAAATATTTACTTTGTCCAAAAAAATCAGGCAATGACACGTGTCTTAATCAACCCACCCCTAATATTATTTTAACATCCCCCACCTGAATTATTTCACCCACCCATCCCCACCTTTTTACCCCCTTCGCTTAATGCTTGAACACAACATTTGGATGCTGGAACACAACAATCATTTGCATCTGTGTTTGACACTCAAACTGGAATACTACAGTCAATGATTGTGTCTGAGACACAAACATGGCTGGAGCCAAGGAAGACAAATCATGTTGCACCAGTGGCAAGAGCTAATACAAGGAAGATCCAATTTAAAAGAGATCACACTGGTACTTCAAATCCAACTAACCTACCTTATTCGCCAATCAAGTGCACATGGAAGGGAAAAGAGACAATGACATTAAACCAGCTACAAGAAGGATGAAAGAAAAGAATCAAAAGTATGGGAATTAAAGGGAGGGGAACAATTGCATAATGTAGTCATGATGGATGGTTTTTGATTAAGTGAAGGAGGGTAAAAAGATGGGGAGGGGTGGGTGAAATAATATTGGGGGGTGGGTTGATTAAGACACGTGTCATTTCCTGATTTTTTTTAGACAAAGTAAATATTTTAAGTAGTAGCTGTTAGTGAAAAAGGGTAGAATTAGGCTCATTCTTTAACGGTAGGGGTATTAGTAGGCTCAAGTTAAAATCGGAGTTATAATTGATCCATTTCGAATACCACATGGTCATTTTTGGGCCTTTTCCCTTTTAAAAATTAAAGATATCAAATACATGAATCATCTTGTAACTTTTCAAATTCTTTTTTGACTTTTCTTGTTTTTGATGTTTTCTTTGACTAATCTTGTTTTTTTTTTCTTTCTAAATTAATAGATCTCCTAGAATTCTCCTAGTCTTCGATGTACAATTGAAAGAACATTTGGAATCTGAAAAAATAGGTTTTCTATTTTACGTTCAATGCCATCTTTCAAGTTTGACACTCAGATTCATCTTGTTACAACTACCATGGCTATACACAATTTCATCCGACGATTTCTTCTAGTGATAAGGAATTCAACTATTATGCTAATGAAGACATTACTGCAGAGATTGAGGAAGGAGATGGACCTTCTGGTATTCCTTTAGAAATGCAAGACAAGTCTTCTGCTATTATGGAGGCGTTGCATGGTAGAATTAAAGATGAAATTGTTGAGAAATATTATCATGTGTGAGTGATGTTGCTTATTATTTCATGGTTGATTATCAATATATAGTAATTTTTGGAATAAACTTTAAGTCACACTGGATGACGTATTTTGATTATTCAAATCATCGTGTAAATAACAAGTACTTATACTAGATAATATTATTGCTTTGGTATAACTATATATGTTACAATGATTTAAATATTTAGTATGTATGTTTACTTTATGTTTATATTTTAATTAAATTGAATAAAAAAATAAAAACAGTCTCTTATAATAAATATTTAAATTTATTTATTTTTTAAATAATTATAAAACCTTGGTACTATCCTTTTTGGTAATTTGACACTCAAAATTACTTTTTATAAAGATTGGTCAAACTCAATTTGTTTATCAAATATTGCAAAAAGTACTTCTTAAATGAATTGGCCAAACATAAATTTTATTTTTCAAAAGTACTTTAGAAAAAAGTACTTTTAAAAAAAAAATATTTTTCAAAATAAGCATTTTTTTAGCAACTTGGCCAAACGTGCTCTTAATTTACTTGTATTTGAAGTCAATGGATTAGAAAAGAGAAAAAAAGAGTTGTTTATAAGCATTATGTCCATATCGTTGACTTATCTTCAATTATCGATGGAAAATAATACCAATAAGGGATGCTAACAATAAATGTAGCAAATCAATGCACATTTCCCTTTCTTCATGGTTGCATATACCTCTTCTGTAATTTTTTATTTTTAAATTTTCCAACTTGTCGTCCATGTGCAAAAACAATATATTCGGGGAAAAAAAACTTACTTACACATGATATTTCACACGGTATTTTTGAATGCAAGATATGTACATATTTATCACTAAATTATTGTTAGTCTCGTTAATTTTTAATAGGTGTGTCTAGGGGTTGTGTTTGTTCGCAAGGAAGAATTTCTCGTCAAGTAAGTTTGGAGGGGTGCAAACACACTTGCGAGAATTCGGGTAACGGCTATAAGGAGAAAACGAAAGGAAATTGTATCCGACCAAGCAATGGCGGAGCCACGTTGAACTAAGGGGTGTCAAGCGACACCCCTTCGCCGGAAAATTACATTATATTGTTAGATAAATTTTTTTATTTTATGTATATTTACTATACGTTGATTCCCCTTGATTTTTTGATATATCTAATTATTTATATTTTGACACCCCTTGATGAAAATTCTGGCTCCGCCACTACAACCAAGTATGGACAAATTGTTTTCTCTTAAAAAATATATTTTTGAAAAGCAATTTTAAGAAAACACTTTTCAAAATAAGTTGATTTAAGAAGTTTAGTCAAACATTATTAGGAGGGACAATACTTATTCGAATATTTCTTAGTAGGGAAATATACCAAACTGTTAAAATAAATTGTTTAATTTGAGGTAAACATCGAATACAAACAATATTTTCCCAAAATAGTCTATCGAGCTAAGAGATAAGAGGGAGATGACTTCTATGTTTGACGAAGAATAATTCATGATTTCTTGAGTTTTAGTTTCTTTTGTTTGCCCTTATTATGGAAAGGGACAAACAATGCATGAGGATTAATTACAGGATTTTCTAGGTTAAATTTGACTAGAAGCCTTCTGAATTGATATAAATTTTTAATTTGAGGACCATTTCTGATTTAGAATGATGGGTTTCCTTCCTTATTCTTTTTCTTTTTTCTAAAAAGTCATTTCACTAAAATAATTATTTATAGTTATCTTTTAAGTGACATAATAGTAATGTATAAATTACTAGACAATAAATTATATTGATTTATTATAGTTACATAAAGTTTAAACACAGGAGACAAGCTAATTTATATTGCTTTAAGACTGCTCATACTAATTAATAGTCGAGGTTTGGTAGATTTTTAACGAGCCGTACTCAAGGGTATAGCTTGATGGTTAATAAAGTGATTAATAAAGTAGGTTGAGAACCACGAGGTCTCGAGTTTAAATTTTAACGGAGACAAAAACACTAAGGGATTTCTTCTCATATGTCCAAGTTTTAGTGGATAGAGTTACCTGATACTTGTAACGATTAAAGGTAATAACTCTTCCATAAAATTAGTCGAAGTGCGCGTCACCGATATAAGTGGTGAGTGGTCGATGTTTAATGGTACTTCTGTCAACTCAGTATTAATAAAAATAAATTTCTTATCGTGTAATTATTTAAGAAAGTTTAGCTAGTTACGGAAATTAAGCATAGACAAACGAAAGTTCTCACAAAACTCTTCCTTTTACACATGTTTGCTAGTGAGGTAATTAATTGCATATTTTTCTTACTTAAATGAAGAAAATGCTCTTTTTTAGCCACACAATAATGACTCCAATGTTGGACTTTATTCAAGTAAACTCCAAACTTTTGCCTAACTTGTTGTTTCAAATTTGGAAAATTAAATTAAGTTTGTTCATTATACTTTCACCTTGTGGATTCTAATTACTCGTGAAAGAATTCGACATCCCAAAATCACCACATAATATGCTCCTTGATATTTCTATTCGATTTATAATTTAAGAAGTTGGAAAGAAGTTATTTCCCTTTATGAATTCAAGGCAAATATAGTGGCAATAATCCTTAATAATTTAAAGTTGTTATATGTATACATGTCTAAGCAGCAAAAATGGGTTAAACTTTGTTCTATAGTTAGTCCAGTTTCTTCTATAACTTCAGATCATTTGGTCTGAAATTCTCAGTGAACTTTGTGTGAAACCTTGTTGATCTAAACTTTGGCCATAATATTTTATAGGTAGATAAGTTTCTTCTACAACTTTAGACCATCCCAATAAACTTGTTAAAACGTTAGGTTAAAAGGCAGCGCGATGCACAAAGCATCTCGCATTCACGCAGGGTCTAGGGAAAGGCCGCACCCCAAGGGGTGTGAGTAGATAGTCCACCCGAATACAAGAATTAATAGTTGTTTCCACGACTCGAATCAGTGACCCGTAAGATCACACAGTAGTTAAGTTTGGTCATAAAATTTTATAGGTAGTTAAGTTTCTTCTACAACTTTAGACCATCCTAATAAACTTTTTAAAACCTTAGGTTATATGCTAAGATTCATTTACTATAGAACCTTTCCCTTTTACTTGCATTGTATGTCAATGAAATTGGTTTAACACTCTTTTGGTCACCTCATCTTTTAGCAAACAGTAGCTGGCTTATTCATTAAGTACAAAGAGAGCTATTACTCACATAATTTTAATGTCTCAATCGACAAACTCAGGTTCAAGCAACTTAAACTTATTGCAGAACATTACAATGAAAAAATGCTCAGACCTAACCAACATTACAACTAACAAGAGTTTGTTGCAATGCCCCAACAGCTTAAATAATGCAAACACGCCTTTCAGAGAAAACGAAATAGTACAAGAAATAGTGATACGAATCCAATCATCCGCCAATATCAGAATCCAGAGAGCGACGATCAAATAGTGATAAATACAGGAAAGGTTCCAATCCCTCAAGCAGTAACCTGACCGAACAGACACTTGCGGATCTGCAAGATTCAGGACAGCAGCAATTAAAATTAACAATTAATTAAGCAAGGATAATAATAATGCAGAAAATGATGGAAGGGGCATACTCATTCAATGTAGAAAACACTAGAACAAAGCTCTAGAGCAATGAGCAATCTTTTATAACCACCCCCACCCCCACCTCCAAAAAAAAAAAGAGGAGGGTAAATCAGGAAGTTCCTGCTTGCTGTCATCCCATCCCTACTAAGGACTGCACATTCAACTCATTTTACTGGAAAGTAGTATTCTCTGTCTTCACTCATTTTCTTTGCTTCATCCACCCACGTCCATTCAATCCATCCTAGCTAGTTCTTTAGCTGGTTCTCAACACATTTGTAGTCTCAAGTCACAATTTTCTTGTGACCTTAAACTGCTCAACCGGCTGTATGCCTTCATTAACTTACAGGCGTATAGATACTCAAGTTTTCAGAAAGAGTCTAGTCTCAACAATGATTAGGATACAACCGACTTGCTTCCCCCACCCAGATAACAAAATTTAGTGACAGAAACGATAAATAGATGACTTTGCAAATTTTAACCACATAAGAGGTAAAAAAGTGTCAATGAACTGAGCTGCAGAAAGTTACTCCACAGAGATCAATCATTAATCAGCAACAGTAAACATCTAACACGCATATCCATTCAAACAATGAACATTTAAGACACTTTGTAACTCATCTGAATGATATTTTAAATAACAAGGGATCAATAGACAGCTAAAACTCAAGCAATAGATCACGAGTCTAAAGTACATTGGAGGAATGCGAATCAAAGAAAATGGCAAGACCAGACCACAGAAATCTGACAAAAATGAAGGAAAGGGCAGAAGAAAGAACCTCTGGTAGTTTTTTACGGAACACAACTTCCAATCTGGCATCAAGGGTGTTTTCACACACAATTTTCCCATCTCGAGAAGCCAACACCACTCCTCCAGAGCTGTGGGGATAAATAGAGATAAATTAGTAAGAGGAGTTACATGGTTTTTCAAAGAGCTGATTTCTCACAAAAGCAATAACAAGGAAAGCAGGAAAGAAAAAAATCCAACCAACAGACAGGACCTAGTTTAAGCACAAAGGGCTGTACTTTAAGGTTTCCTCATGAAAGTAAGGTTGTAACTAGAGCAGCTTACCAAGAAGGACCATGCATATTATGATGTGATGGAGCCGGAGGTAGGTGGATGTCGTCAACTATGATCTCCGGTGCGTGGACATTTGCCTTCTCTGCATACTCTTCCTTTGCTGCATCCAATACATGTTCAACCAGGTGTACGTCATGTTTCCGACAACGCAGCAGGACAGAAGGCTCTTTAAGCCTGAGCAAACTCTGCAAGAGAAAGAGATGGTTTCGAATTATGCCTAAAGACTAAGCAATAATAAGTTCAGTAAGCCATACAGACACCACGGGCAGTCAAGCCAAACATAACAAACAATAATTAGTTCTTAGTCATTATATTGGCTTTAGCAAAGAAGAAATCGCAAGCTTCATATTACAATGAAAATGCGTGCTACAATTTTCGGTTCTGTTAAGTCAAGCCCCAATTTTAAAAGGATCCAGCTTGAAGGTCAGTAAAAGTTTCTTGTCACGCTATCCAATTATATTTTGGTATCTAAAACTATAACATGACTCTACTAGTCTTAGACTTAATATATCAAAATCCAGTCTGAACTTGAAGCCAGAGAGATTCACAATTTTCAAGTTGCCATTCCTTTGTAAAGCACAGTACATGCCATAGAAACCAAACAAGAAGTAATCTGGCGTCCCAAGAGTTCGGATATCATGATGCATATAACCACATCAACAGATGACTATATTGGTCTTTTTCTAAATAGTATGCCTTCCATAAAGTATTCTTGCTCAATTTCTAAGATCTCATAGTTTAATTCGGGAAGTCCAGAAAAAAAAGGAGGAGAAAATGGTGTAGATTAACGTCCACCATACCTGAACAATAAGATTATGCAGAAGCTTCTTATAACTGTCTTGGTGGTGAGGAAGAATAATCTCTACGAGTTCGTTGTGATGATGGCTAACTTGTAAAAGCTCCTTTGCTGCTGCCTCCTTCATGGTGTTAACCAAGTCATCCTGAGCTTGAAGAACTTTGATCCGAGAGGCATTGAGTTGCATGGAGTACTCGCTGCGAGAAATACATTTTTGAAAAACTTTAAAGACCATGTACGCTGATAGAATTCAAATTAGATAAGCTGAACCACAGAGGATGTTATGTTGGCAAATCAATTGCAATTTAAACTTAAACTTCGCACCTAATTTAACATGATCTAGCTTGCTACAGTCTACAGAAACGAACATCGTGAGGAAATCAACTTCATACCTAGTTTAACCATGTGGCTTATTCCAAAATAGAACTATACTCTAACTAGCAAGAAAGGAGTTTTAAAAAAAGGTATTAATTGTAGCAGAATACAACAGTGGAATATGTCAAAAAAGCACACAAGCCCCCGAAGATGCCATTAGTAAGCTTTATTTTCTTTCTTTTAAAGTAAGCTTTTCCATGATGTTCCGGACCTAGCATGGAGCAAAACAAGCAGAAATCTGGATATACCAAAAAGAAAAAGGTATCTATCTTCAAACTGCAATCAAACATCATACAGCTAAGACACCAAATAAAAACAATCATTTTTATCGTTTTATGGTTATAAAAAAAACAATCTTTTTCAGCCAAAATCAAGTGATAGCATTATAGTTATAATACAATGGCTTTTGATTGCTGTTACAATAACAGTACTACTGAATATCTTCTATTCACAGTTATAGCACAATGGCATTTGATGGCTAACAGGAAATCAAATCGAAGCATTTGACGAGCAATATGAATTCCCAAGCATAAAATCGAATAATTGTTTCTTCAAGCCAATTTCACCTAAAACACAAAATTATAACACAAAACAAACCAAAACAAATATGCAAAATTACATCTTTTTGCGAACATCCACTTGTTTTTCTTTGCGCTCGAACTCTTGTCTAATCTTCTTCTTCTCCGCTTCCACTAGCTGCAACTTCTCGATGTTGAATTCCTAAGAAACAATCGCATCCACTGTACATTATTTCTATAATTACCTATATAAATCTCCGAACATAGGCAGATCCAGCTCTATGTCGGTGAGTTTAGACGCACCACTACTTTCAGCTTAAACTATATATATAATTAAAACTTTTCAACTCCAACTATATATATGGAAAGTCGAAACTTTTTGAAAAGTATAAATTTACAACTTTTACACTCGAACTATCTATATAATTTTAAATTGGTAACTGCACTGCTATTTGTACTAACTGATTTTTTAAATTTCGGATCCGCCTCAGGGTTCAGAACAATGCTAGATGCAGAAAATAGAAAGTTTGAAACTTTTCGAAAAGTGAAAACTATTTAGACTTGAACTATATATATAAGTAAAACTTTTCAACTCCAACTATACGTATGGAAAGTCGAAACTTTTTGAAAAGTATACATTCCCAACTTTTACACTCGAACTATATAAAATAATTAAAAATTGGTAACAGCACTGGTATTTGTACTAACTAATTATAAATTTAGGATCCGGCTCTGGCTCAGAACAATGCTAGATGCAGAAAATAGAAAGTTTGAAACTTTTCAAAAAGTACATTGAAAACTTTATATACTCGAACTATATATATAACTAAACTTTTCATCTCCAACTATATATATGGAAAGTTGAAACTCTTTGAAAAGTATACATGTACAACTTTTACACTCGAACTATATAAAATAATTTAAAATTGGTAACTGCAGTGCTCTAATTTTAAATTTCGGATCCGCCTCTAGCTCAGAACAATGCTAGATGCAGAAAATAGAAAGTTTTCACTTTTCGAAAAGTGAACTTTTCAGACTCGAACTTTATATATAATTGAATTTCGAAAAGTATATATATATATATATATATGTTTACATTTATTATCACAAATATTAGTGAATGCAGCGCTATTCATAGTTACTGAAATTAAATTCTGACTTGGAACAATTGCGAAAAACAGAAATGATTAAATTCAATTAAATTTGATATTGTATAATAAAAATAAATAGGGATTACTTCTTCAGCAGAAACGGAAATCTCATTGGCTTTTTCTTCAGCTTCTTGGCGGATGAATCGGACCATTTGCTGGATCTGCTTTGAGACATCTGTGTCGTTCATTTTTTCGGATCTGGATTTTGGATCAAAATCGGGTCAACGATTCGGGTTCTTTTTACAGAGTAGGTTTTCGAAGAAGAAGAAGAAGACAGGTAAGAGCACGAGTCAACAGTTCACAAAAAAATTGTCTTAAAACTGAAATGAAATCACATGTCTGATCTATCTAGCCCCGTATTTTATTAGAATTGCTGAAGACACCCAAGAAGTTTGTTTAAAAAACCCCGAACTTGATGTTTTTAGGCGAGCGTACACCTTAACTATTTGAGGTCCTAAATACCCCCTTCAGCTTGGTTTTTTGAAAGTTATTAACTCCTTAACGCGCTACATGGCAAAGAAAGTAACTTCAAATGAGTTTGGGCGCGTGAAAATATCATGTAATTGCCACATCAGTCTAAAATTACCATTTTTGTTAACTGTTATTCTATCTCCAACAATAAAAATGATGAAATGACTTTTTTTTTAAATTCCAATCCCTATATCACCGTCATCGTTCCTAATTCCATTCATCTTCCTTATCTCATCATATTCTCATACTCATTTTGTGATATAACATCATTTTCTTGCTTTAGCAAACTAACAAATTTCTCCCTAAACTTACAGCATAAATTACGCATAATATGCCTTGTAAATACCTCAAAAATTGGGTGTGCTTTCGGAGAACATTACCCGCGGTAATGGTGTTAATCTCGGCATGTGGGACACATTTGGACAGTGATTGAGACCCATTTGGGGTGGGTTTGCCGGTTTCTTCCACCAGAGTTATACTTAAAACTTATTTGAGTTAGATTCTTCCACCAGATTCTTTCGCCGGAGTTATATTTATAACTTATTTGAGTTAGATTCGAGTTTTCATCGATTCTTCCACTAGAGTTGTAGTTGTATTTAAAACTGATTTGAGTTCAATTGAAAGGACCCATTTGATTCTTCCGGTGAATTCTTCGTCGGATTTAAGTTGTATTGCAATTGAAATGGCGTAAAGGCCCTAATATTTTATTAGAGTTTTAAAATTTTAAATAAATAAAAAATAATTTATTTTGCCACTATGTACAACCACATCAGATGAAAATTTCATATGGACCGCGCGTGGATGCACAATGCTAAGGTCCAACAAGTTAAGGAGTTAATAACTTCAAAAAAACATGTTGAAGGAGATATTTAGGACCACGAATAGTTAAGGTGTACACTCGCCAAAAAGCGTCAAGTTCAGGGAGGTCTTTAACTATTATGCCTTTAAAGAATTGACCTACTTCCACGGCAAAATTTAATATTTGTGAAAATTTAATTAAAAGGTGTGAATTTTTAGTCCACAAAAGTTCTAACTCTTCTAACAAATGAAAACATGGTATTGAGTTGGACGAGTCAAGTCATAATCTTCATCTATTATCATTTCACCTAACGTGACATATAATTTATTATTCTGATTTAAGTAAATTTTAAATAAATTAAAATCAGAAAACATTTAACTCAATTTATATTTGATTCAGACTATTTTTCACTTGTTGTTCCACTTAGACAAGGAAAAAGCATTGTTGTTTTCCCCTCTTATTAAACTCATCTCCAACAATCATCACCCTTCGCATTTTTTAATGCCCAACCCATTATTTTTCTAGTTAAATTTTCAATAAACGCAAGTGAAACGAATTTAGAGTGTTAAATAAGGTTATATATACGTGTTTAATCAACAAATGTTATACCATTATATAGGATAAAATATGTTTATATTAAATGATCGCATGAGAAAATGACTTGTGGAGCCAAAGACAGGGGGTAGTTGAATTCTGAGGCAACGATCTTGTCTGCTACTAGAGAGAATGATATTCATAAAGATAAAATAAATGCTTGTCACCCGGTAGCATTTAACAAGGAATATTCTACAGCATTCAGTACGCAGCCCGTTGCAAGGAATATAGCATTCACTGTCTGTCGTTACACATTCTTCAATGGACCTCATAATTGTCATTAAAGAGGGGCTTGATCTAGGGGTGGGCATAATACCGGCCGAACCGAAAAAACCGGCCAAACCGTTCATTTCGGTTTTTCGGTTTCGGTTTAATCGGTTTTTCGGTCGGTGCACGGTTTTTAAATTATTAATTTTCGATTTTTCGATGCGGTTTACAATTTTGGTGTTTCGGTTTTCGGTTAAACCGAAAAACCAAAATTTTGGGTATTAGTTAAGAAAAATAGGTTTGAACATGTGGGTTCTTTTATGAGTCCAAAACTTATTATCCATTTTAGGCTGAAGCCCAATAGTCCAATACACATTTGAACTTTAAAGCCCAATTTACCCAAACTTACTGATAGTCTCATACGTTAGTCACTTACTTCCCAATTCCCATTTCCCAAACCTAAATAAAAAAATTAGATTTAGGGTTCTTTCTCAGCTCTGTCTCTGTGCGACTGCTGTCTTCTTTCTCAGCTTTGTGCGACTGCTGCCTTCTTCCTCAACTCGACTGTGATGCCTTCTTCCTCAGCTCGTCGCTCATTCTTCTTCCTCGGGTTAGTGCGACTTCTTCTGAGTTCTGAGTTGAGTTGGGTCCAGTGTCATTTTACAGGTTTGCCCACTGTTAATGCTGTTTTGGCAAAACTTTCTGATAGAGTTTTGCTGGAAAAGGTGTTCATGATTTCTTTGGTTGATTTTTTATTAAGATAAGGCTTCCTTTTTTGGTGTTTTAGTTCTTTTCTATTCATTCGGTATGACAATACCTTCTTTTCTATTCAATGGATGTTAATGTCGTATCTGTTATGTGCAATGGTTATTAGACCAATATCTTCTTTTCTATTCATTCATTATGACAATCTATTTCCTTTTGCCAGAGAAACATAAAATTTCTTTCAACCGTTTAAAACCGAAAATAACCGAACCGAACTTTGAAAAAACCGCACCGAACCGTAAATACTTTGGTTTGATTTGATTATTAATATTACAAAACCAAAAACCGATAAACCGAACCGTACTTTCATAATAACCGACCGAACCGACCGACGCCCACCCCTAACTTGATCCTAGGACCTTGTTCCCAATGTGCAACTATAAATAATGAGCTCTATTATCATTATAAAGAACACGAATTTTCTGAAAAACAAACGCTACACTCTATTCAAAGCTCAATATAGTTTTATCTTCTTGTTTATTGGTATCGTTGATATTGTCCCCGGAAGTCGTGCTCCCTAAATTATAATTTCTGCTATTTTATCTCCATCTCAAGGCTATGTATTACATTTTTGTCTAATTCATCTATTATTTTAGGATCAAATTAATTTACTTGTCTATAAATCACGTATATATTTAATTGTACCATTTTACGGGTAACCAGTTTGGCGCCCACCATGGGGATTAGACACTTGTGTAATTAAGTTGGTCCTTGCCTCTTTTACTAACGCGCTTGATTTTTTGTTCTTAGAAAAGAATCATAGAAAATGGCAGATGACGGTTTTAACAACACACACAACCTTGAGGCCTAAGGAAATCAGCCTCAGCACGAGGATTTAATCAGTGATACCCACAGTGAGGGGAACGAGGCCACACTGGTCCACGGCAGCAGTACCCGTGATATGTTCGAGAGGCGACTCCTGATGATGTTGGAGAAAAGCACGTTGTCGAAGCGGCAATGGTCTTGCAGGAGCAACAAAAGGACATTTTAGATCATCTCACACGGCCTGATAAGGTTATGACAAAGTTGAAGCAAGCATTATCAGTGCTTCCAATAATGCGAATGGACGAGGTCTAGTTCCTCCCGGCGCTCCTGTAAATCCAACAACGCAGAGGGTCGATAACAACACCCCGAGGGGCGATGTCGGCTTAAATAAGGCCGGGGGGAGCGAAACCAGTCATAACAACGAGAGTGATCCCTTCAAAAACGAACTCATATGGTTTATGAGGGAAGTACACGCCCACATGGATCAAATTCCGGGCGTGCTGAAAGGGCCGGACTCAAAGGAGTACACTCAATTGCCGTACAAACCAAGCGCGACACCAGAATTGATCCCGAAGAGGTTTAAAATGCCAGACGTGCCGAAATATAATGGGACTTTAGATCCTCAGAAGCATATCACCACCTATATAACGGCGGTGAAAGGCAACGATTTAGCTCCCTACGAGATCGAGTCAGTTTTGCTGAAGAAATTCAGAAAGACTCTCGCGAAGGGAGCCTTGACGTGATATTCTCTTTTTCCCAAGCATTCCATAGACTCCTTCGAGATGCTTGCACATTCTTTCATTAAGGCCCATGCTGGGTCCAGAAAGGTACAGGCCCGAAAGGCCGATATACTCAGGATTGCACAAGGAGGGTCCGAGTTACTACAAGAGTTTGTAACCCAGTTCCAAAAGGAAAGGATGTTGCTACCGGCCATTCCAGATGAATGGGCGGCTGAAGCATTCACCAAAGTTTTGAATCCGAGAAGTTCTGATGCTTAATTCCCGGAAGTTGAAAGAAAGCTTGCTCGAGTTCCAAGCGACAACTTGGGCGGATGTTCATAACCGGTACGAGTCAAAGATAAGGATTGAGGATGATCAGCTCGGCTTCTTGAAGTCAGTTAAGGGTCGGGATCAGGAAAAGAATAAATAGAAACTAAAAGAAGATTTCAACACAGATCGATGGTCTTCGGGGGCTGATTCTTACCCTATGAACGGGTCGAAGGACGCGGCAAAGGTTTTCGGTCGGCGGATAGGTTCATTACCGATAGAAGATCTGATCGCGGACGAAATAATAGGTCATTACAGGACAAATAAATGCCAGGTTCTCGAGATTCTTCCTACCACATACTTTCATAATATAACTTCAACATCAGTGTAGTATATTTGGTATCGGCTATGAGGAACATTAAATAAGCACGGTTCCCAAAGCCAATAAGATCTGATCCAAGCCAGAGGGATCCTAATTTGTGATGCAAATACCACGGGACAAATGGTCACAGACTGGGGACTACCGACATCTATGCGAAGAGGTGGCGACACTGTTGGAAAATGGCCATCTCAGGGAATTTGTAAGTGACCGGGATAAAAACAATTGCGGTGGCAATCGTGATAACACTGAACCTTCAAAAACAGGAGCAGATCCCCCGCGCCTGACGATCAACATGATTTTCGGGGGGAAACAAGATTAACGGGGTTACATTCTCAACAGCAAAAAAGACGAAGGTGTCAGTAA